TTGGCGTCGGTCGCTACTGTTTTGAGAGAGTATAGGATAAAGGGAGGGTAGGCGCTGCCTTCACTCAGTCTAGTACCATCCGTTCTTCTGTACTCTCACAAAACATTGGAGACCTGCGCCTATCGATACCGACTCTTAGGTTGGGCGGCTCTCCCCTCTCAACTGGGGTCGTGTCCAAATCCATCGTAACTTACTTGAAGGGCTTATACATTGCCTTGATCATAATATCACAGTCATTTCTACTTGTACTCGGAGTCGTTTAGCTCAGTTTTCTGGGTTAGATTTGAGCTTAACTAAAGTACGTGCCTGTCGAGTTGACACAAATGGCGTTGGTACCTTGAACGAATGTTGTTTTCATCTCAGAGCTCTGAGTAGCCTTGGGTAGTGAACTTCACGAAGAGAAGTTGCTGTTCCAAATTGCGCTTGGGCCAGTGGTGCACGTTGATTTGAGCCCTGAATGAAGAACCTCTACATACTGTTCATAGGTATCCGCTCTTCACAAGTCGAAATCCTCAATGTCAAATGCAAGTAAAGCTACGGAAGACCAAGTTGCACAAATTCTAAAGAATCAGATGGAGACACTGCTATACATTGACCGTAAAACAGGCTGCTGCCTTAATGGAGATTTTTCAAATGTTCTAAAGTCCTCATTTTCTGTAATGGACGTATTCAGGAGAACTGGAGGCGAAAGTAGAAGAAGTCAAAGATATGGCCGACGGCCGTAGTTCGGCACTTTTTTCATGATCTCCTGCTGTTTAAACACTAGACATCCGGGTGAAATCGTTTTTGTGAATGTTTAAATTGTTGATACTCTGCACTTTGAAATCTGAAATGAAGGATTTTCTCATTTTCTCTGAACCTTGTCAGTCGGTACTTCCGTATGCTTTGTTTATTTCTTTGTCTCTTCGATTTGCTTCGACTTTGTGGAAGTTGGGTAACGTTTCGGGATCAACTGCAAGCACTGTAAGAGCGCATTCAATTGATGCTACTTTGGAAAAAAATGACGAAACTGTGGAATTGCAGAAATGCAGAATCTGCCTAAATGCCGGAAATCCGCAGTGTTGACATTCTTCCAAGGACGGGCTGTTGGATCCATCTCTGTCGGGTTTAAGTCCCACTTTTGGCGGCTTTTCTGCATCTTTTTTTGAACGAATCTGAGTTTCCATTAAGCTACTGTGGGCAACGAAGAACAATAGAGGCTTTTTTCGAGAAAGGATATACTCTGATGTGTGTCGTACTACAACTGTTTTGTTCGATTCGTTTTCCCAGTCGCGCAAGTGCGGTTATGCGAAGCGAGGTGACATACCTGGTATTCGCACCAGGACCCAATCCTATTCTACGTGCAGCACTGCGCCGCGTTGATTTTCTTGAATTTCCCTGCGTCTACGTCCAGGCCACTTACTTTCCCTGTGCATCTGTCGATCTAGCTAACTAGCAAATACTTCGCATGCAATGTCATATTTGCGCTTAGCCCACGTGTAACAACTTCCGTTGGTCCTGTCGCGAAACCCTGCCAGGTGGTGCGTCTGTCAGAGCACTGAAAGGTGCAGTTAATATGAAGAGAGTGAGGGGTCGGGACTTTTCAAAGGTGGGGACTCGGGGTGAGTGAGACAAGTATACATGCGTGAAAAGCTGGGATTTATAATGCCATAGTACTCGCGCAACGCCACGCAGGCAAGAGGGTGCAGAGAAGAAGGGAAAATTCACACCATAAAAGGAACTAAAGTGCCAACGTACTTATCCCACTGCTCAGGGGCGAGGAAATCTACCGCTTGGCATATTACTACCAGTCCAGGGATTTATCGTGTCACTTGCTTTGTGTCTAAAAAAGTCTTGTGTTCAGAATACACTGCACCAGAATTGATGCCCATCGTTGTCACAATTGAATAATGCCAGGAATGTCAGATGAACTATGTAGTTTCGGGTTTCAATATTTGCCGATAGCCGATCGCACAGGCTCCGACAATGCCTCAGCATTACACAGCTGTGCGCTCGATGACTCACCCCACGCGTCGTCCCTCCCATCCCAACTACACCCGTCATCGATCGATGTCGCAGCACGGGGCGTCCGGGCGTTCGTCTGGGTAGCAGTTATTTGTCGTTTGCTTCGTGCACTGCTTGGTTGTTCTCTTCTCCTGCAGTCTCGCTTCGTTCAGAACCGTTAGTCTCCTTTTACTGAGGCTTATTCTGAGAATGTTATTTTCCTTCCGACAGGCTTACATGGGGCAATCTTGCATTTGGCCTTGAAAATTACTGGGTCAATGTGTGCTGCAATTAGAAAGCAACGACGTTTTGATGCAGGGACACTCCTAAAGCTGTCTCCGTGACTAGCGTCTGCGAATTCATGTATACGGGTTTCCAGAGGGATAAGTACGTATTGACTGATATAAAAGTAGATGTCATGTGACACAGCATTGGAGTCTTATGTGTGGTGAATCAGCATTCCATCGATCTGTCTTGCCTAATGTGCCGTACGGTAAGGTACGGCAGCAACGGGAAAGCCCGGTCTTGGCTGCAGGGCAGAAGGTCGCATTTGGTCGATGGGGGGAGGTCAGTTTGGCTGTGATAGAAGTTTTCCTAGCCATTACCATTTTTTTGCTTTTATCACAAAAATGCTGAGTAAAGTGTCAAAGTCTTGATCTTTCATGGAGCGCGAACTTGCACCTATTGCTTTCGGGGCGAATGCGCATTCCGTTACGCGGTCGCCCGGAAATTCCTTTCTTTGGTCGGTTGTTGACTTTTCCTGATTTTTCCCGTTTCATGTGCGTCATGTATCCCCTTTAGGTGGCGTTTCCGCAAAATTGATAAAAACTGCTATTTCTGCATTTCTTCGTTCGTTTCCTTCTTTTTTTTCTGTTGAGATCAGTAGTTTGCTGATGAACCCCTCCTCGCTCACTCTGTGGCAGTTTTTTTAGCGATAGATGGGAAGGGTGCTGGAAAAGTTTTGTAAAACTGGGGATACTTGTAGGAAGCTGGAGAAATTCAGAAGTTTGATGGGTAGATTGGGGAATAGGGCTACCGGAGAAGGAGTTTTTTTTTCTGCGGGAGGTGAGTGGTATCGATACCGCCATTTTACACATCACGATGTCGTACCGTGATGCACAGAGGCAAGCCAGATGCGAAAGCTCCGCCACACGTTGTAAAGCTCATCGCTCATAGCTCCTTCGAATGATTAGCCTTTTTAAGTGTACTTGCCCCTTGTAAAGTGGACCATATAACATTCTCTTTTCTTCATGACTTCTCTTCTCAGAGGAGATTCTTCACCTTTAGTATTCAGCTAGCATGAAATGTTTGGTATCCTCCTTGCGTGAAGGGTCTTCGTATGTTTTCGCATTTTGCAAGCGTGAACCTCCGATAGGCCGCTTTCAAACCTGGCTACCCTGCATAGTGGGAGTCCGTGTTAGGCATTGTTCACAGTCTCCAGGCCCTGACGAAACGGCGGTTGGGAGAAAAGCAATAAATAGTCATCGATCGGAGAATCGCCCAACCGTCCAACCGCCGCGGTTGGGCGAAAAGCAGTAGATGTGTATCGATTTCGCTGGCGAAAAACGCCACCGCGATGGAGCTAGCGTTTTGTCGAAGGCGAAAAACGTCGCGGTTTGGCGAAACGCCCGTCGATACGTACCAAAACCCTTTCGCCCAACCGCCAGGCTCTTCGCCCAACCGCCAGTCGATATGTATCGAAAGCTTTTCGCCGAACCGCCGCGTTTCAGAGAAACGCTGGACCGCAGAGTGTGAACAATGCCTTATTAAGGGAAGTGTATAGTTAGTCCTGCGTAGCTGTGATTGGTATCAGTACAGCTGCGTTTGGCTCGGCCCAGCCGGTCATTTCCTTTTTTATATGGCAAGCGACGAGATTATATCATGTCGTTCGGATTAGTCGTTTTCCACCTGTTGTTGCTCCTTAATCTCTTAAGCGACTGATGGAGAGGTGCACGGCAACCGCTGACACGTCCCATCATTCGCAGCTAAAAAGGCTGTGCGTGTGCTTTCTGCGAATTTTCATTTCATCGGTGCGCTGAGGTGTGAACGCGGCCTGATACTGTTGCTGTACGATCATTATCTTCTCCTTTGGAGTGCATGCGTATCACTCATTGTTCTTAGGTACTCATTGTTCGCTCCGCAGCTGACGGTTGTCGGTTGATTTTCTCACATTCGTCCAGTTGAAAACGTTTTAGCATGGACAGTTTGAAGGTTTTCATTTGCACTATATTTTCATCGCATTTGCTGATTGCCGGAAGTGTTTCAAAATCCTTTTAAGTGGTGGTTTCAGATGGAAGACGATAAAGTTAATATGGCACTTGATGACATTATTAAGCTCAATAAAAGAAAGCGAGGTGGCCAGTCAAGTGGCAGAAACAATGATCGTGCGAGACAGGTGAGTAATGTCGTGAAGTTTTTCAGTCTACGCCTTACACCACGATAATTATTTCTCCAGCAGTACCAGGAAGAGGAAAGTCTCTAGCGACTGAACGTCCTCGTAGATTAGGTGTAAAGGGAGTAGGCTAATGGATTCAGATTTCGAAAACTAGATGTTTCGACGACTGCACTATGAGCGCCAGATGCGTATCGATTGATCCCGCCCATTCGGAGATTCGAGAATTTGATGTTTTCGGGGAATTAACGTTTCGATAGACCGGGATTCCCCGTATCCTCATTATCTTGAATTGGACGGAGGCAACCGATGGAATCTTATTCTTCCAACGTAGTTGCCGAAAACGCCGAGTTCCCCCTCCATACCCACTCCCACCCCCACGTAGCCGCAAGGTAAAAAGGCAGCTCAAACGAACTAAAGCGTATCTTATCGGTTTTGTCGATTCCCTGAAATAGATCATTGAACCTTTGAGATTCGTGAACGTAGCACAATAATTTCATTTTACAGGTCAAAGGCCGCACGTTTCTGGGCAATCGCGGAAGAGGTGGTCTTGCGCAGCGTCGAGGTGCTCGCTCTAACGTTGTTCAGAGACGAGGTGCTCGCTCGGAGCTGGCACAACGTCGAGGTGCTCGCTCCGATGGCGCAAGCGTATCAGCCGTGAATAATGCTGCTACGAGGCGTTTTGTGAAGAATCTCGTCAATGTAAGTACAGCGTTTCGGCACTGTTGGCTTGGTGTGGGGAGAGGGGGGGGGGGGAGAATCTGCTGGATTCTATCGTTCATCCATGCAGTGAAGACCTGTAAATTCCTTGAAGCTGTACAATAACTTCGTTTACACTTGAAGGGGTCTATAGGTCTAACCAAGGCGAAACATGCAATCCGACAGGAACTAGCAACAGAAACAGACGGAAGGGTGAAATGCCCACCCTCATTTCCCCTCCTCCCCCTAAGCCGAACAGCGCCAGCGTATCTGTTTATCGTTTAGCGAATTAGAATGCTACTGATACTAATACTATTGCTTTCAGAAGACGCTACGGAAGATGCGAGCTAAAGCAGCAACTGCAGCGGGCGTCGTGAACCGCCAAGCAGTACGTTTTTAAATGCAGAAGGCATTTTCGACGTCACGGTGTCTTGACTGCCGAGTTCCGTTCGAGTTCTGACGGCTACCGCTGTCTTTATCATCCGCCGCGTTGGAAATTCGGGTGTCATGCGGCATGTCACTGCACGTACCTCTTCTTACTCGCTCGCTCGATGAAAAGAAACTCGCTAGTTTGTCTACGGATGAGATAACTGAGTGTTCCGACTTCTTCATCCTGCCGCACACACCTGGTTACTCGTTCCATGTCATGTCGGCGATGTGCAAGAACTGGTTTCCTTTTTCTGGCTACCGAGACTGTTGTAGGTTAGTTAACCATTGGTATCTATGATATTTACTTACAGGTTCGTGCAGATGGAGCTCTCGCCAGGGTCAATGTTAGATCACGCGGGATTCGTAAGAGGGTTGTGGAAGTTCCTCGTGTAGTGAGTGATATTAACAGAGCGTGGTGCGCTGTGTCTCTATATATGTTCACTTTTAGAATAAATCTCTTTGTAGATCGTGAGAAGGCCGAGAATCCGTGCTGCTGTACAGCGCGAAGTTGTAGAGGAAGAGTGAGTTCTCTATTAGCATCGAAGTCCCAAGCAACTTGGCTGGTATTAACACATTGGCGACAAGGCGCCTTTTCGCGTGTCTGCCGCGTGGGACGAAGCAATTTTTCCCTATTTTTGAGGAATGCGCATGAATGCTAGAGCGTTTACACACCAAAACACTTGCAAAAGGACTAGTATTCAATGCAGAAGCTAGTAAATTTTTGCTTTTACTTTCAATTTAAACCCTTAATTTTCGTGGAATACTCCCGCCCCATACACGCGGAGCGTGGGAAAGAGGTCGCAAAAAAGGAATTTTTTGGCGCCAGAGGCAGTAAATTGGATTCGATCCAGATCTGCTATTGTAGAAAGTTACCTTATCACGTTAGCTATCTACATGTGGAGCTTCAGTTCTATTTATCCAAAAATTACCTTTTTTTCCTAAGGAAATCACTTTCCTTTGTATCCTCCGTAAAATACTCCCAATGAAACAACTGTTAGTTTTGCAGCTACTGTATATTCTACAATGCCTTCCTGTACAATATGTAGCTGTTGAAAATTTGAAACGTTTTCAAATTGGTTTTTTACCCATGCCGCATCCCAGCAGTGGGACGCAATGTCCCACGCGGCAAAAAAGGTGCGTCCCAGCAGTGGGACGCAATGTCGCCAACGTGTTAAAAGGCACGTCCTGCGTTCAAAATGGCGATTTTTTTTTGCGGCTCAAATACTAACGACGAGATTGCGACTAACACGATAGTGAAGAAAACAGCAGAGAAACACTTGAAAGTCCTTTATGGAACCCTCTGCTGAATCGCGCTCGTAAGGGCGCAAGGCGAAGCGAGGGCGTGATTGGACGAATTTCCGCTTGTTATTGCTTTCTCATTATCACCCCACTTTCACGCACCATCCGGAATGAGGAAGGTCAGTGGCCGAAGAACCGCAACTCTAGGGTATTTTTGGAAGTGAAGATTGGGCGTCGCGTGGTCAATGGGCGGGGCTAGTGGGCGGCGTTTTCCTTACATATTTTTGAGCTGCAAAAGTGGTATATCCTCAAGGCTTTCAGGCAGGACTGTCGTGTCCAGTGAAGACGCCTGAACATCAAATGAACGCAGGGCGTGCCCACAGCTATTTGCTGGAAGATGACGCTTCTTTTACGTTCACTTCTCAGTTTGCTGTTTTCTCCTGTCTATTCAGTTAAAAGAGTTTTTCAGACCGGAGCCAGTGGTATACCAGACAGTTCGCGTAGTCAAGCGTGAAGCTCGACCTGCCGTTCGACCTGTGGCTGTTGTCCGTGCACGCCCGGTGAGGCCTGTCTATCGTAGACAAGACCAGCGTAATGTACAAAATCAACGAAATGGTCGTGCGCAGATGTTGCCCGTGCGTCGGTTTGTGCAACAGCCATCTGCACAGTTGGCAGCTCCTCGTCAGCGAAACCGGATTTTCGTCCAACCGCCTGCCCGAGCCAGCGGAGGGTTTGTGAGACGTGAGCAAGTTTTTGCAAATGGTGGTGGACGTCAGAATCGGCGAGCGAACGTGATATATGTGAACGAAGCAATGAGCTCTCGAGTACGTTCCAAAAGTTTCTGTTTTTTATGGCCATCTATTGGTTTAATCTTTGCAGGTTCAGCCTTCAGCTAGAAGTGGAGTGCGTTTCGTTAATAAGAGGCCTGCTCGTCAGTTCGTGTCATACGATGATGATGATCTTGAGGATGTGAGTTTATGTGGTTTATAATTACTACCTTTTCAATTTCAATTTGGGAGTGAACAACACATGATTGAATAAGCTCCCGAGAACCCGAGTCTCTCGAAACATCGGATCGCTGAATCTCCGCAATCGCTGACGACCGGCATCGATCAGTACGTATCCCTTTCTGTGACGGCGCATTTGTCCGAAACGCCAAGTTGCTCGAAAAGCCGGATTGCCGATTCAACCCAATCGCTAGACTGGTAGCCATACTTTCCTGAGTGCGCATTTTCTCGAGTTGCTCAGTTTCCCAGGTCGCCAAATAACAGTCCCAAAATATGAACGCGAGCCACTGCTTTCAGTGAGTACGTGAGTGGGGCCAACGTGAGCTTTGGCAGTGGGCGAGCTCAATCGGCTCTCTAATCACTTTCGTGCGTTCTCAGCAAAGGTTTGAGCGTCGTAGCGTGAAAGATGGCAAAGGAGCTCTGTTTAGTTGCTCTGGATGGCGGTCGTATTAGAACGGAGGGAAATTTTTTGGATTTCTGCTCTTTCCGTTTCACGCGTGCTGTATCTCCCAAAGCCTGCGCGTGGGTGCTCCCCTCGTGACAGCAAAAATTTGGGAAAATTAGGTAACAGGTGTATAAGTTGCGAAGTAGACGGATGAACGGTTTTTGAAGTGGTGGGCCGTACTGGCAGTGCCGTTTTACCTATCACAATGTTGCTAGCCTATGTCAGAAATTGGCAGTTCGCCAGATTGATACATATGCGTTCCCCAGCGCGCATTCTCCCCTTCGTTGTTTTTTTTTTTGAATTTCCGTTTTACTTTGACTACAAAGTGTGACCGTGGTCTGAATAGTATGGTGCGTGATGAACATCGATCATTAAACCATCGCGTGTGTATTCGAACGCTTGGCGCAGTTCGGCTTGGTGGGGGCATTCTGCTGGCTCCCAATCCCTGCCAGACTGTGCAAACCTGTAAATTGTGAAGTTAATTTTAACAGCACTGTTCTTTACACTTGTCGAAAGTGTACTGGTCTTACCAAGGTGAGACCTGTAAACTCCTGACAACTCCCAAACCTAGGAGGAAATAACACATCAGTCTGGGGGAAGAGCGAAATGCCCCCCCCCCCCAACTCCCTAAGGCGAATAGCGCCGCATCGCTATTATGTATGCTTTCTCAATTTATTTTGTTCACAAACTTGTTTTAAATTGCAGTTTGACCGCTATCCATCTACCAGTTTCCAAGTGAGCCGCAGAAAGCGAAAAGGACGTGGATTCACTACTGAGTATGACTACTGAATTTGATTCTCCAATGGTTACTTATACGCGCTGTGCGCCTTGACCTACCATTTGAATTCCGCTTTTTGTGTATTATGATGGATTCTCTCTGTCGTAACGTGCTAATTTAATCAGTTATGTTACTGTTTCATTTTTATGAATGTACAATGATGTCCCCCAAATCCTTAGTTTAGACTGTAATTCCTGTATTTCATTATATTGTGTGATTAATAAAATTTGTGCATTATAACTCGTTGAAGTACTGTAGATGTTGACCGTCGTCATGCTACCGCTTTCACAGGAAATAAATAGAGCAGGGGTAATCCAGAACAGAGAAACCATGAAGGTGATAGGGGGTGCTCGTTCAGCACGACCCTTCCCATAATGGTAAGTATTTCAACTCGAAAGTCCCTAACCCTTCTTTTTGAGGTCTTCCTTACCAGTGCTTGCCATGAGTTTGTTTGAGAAAATAAGGGGTCAAGTCCGTCCTTACCCACGCCTTTGCATTGATGGAGACCCTTCTCGACTCCTTAACAAACCAGCAAGCGAAATTTGCCACTTCTCACAGCTAGTTATGTACCACCCTCCTTGAAGGCTCCCAAGGGAAGGTGTGCTTGTGCTTTCGTTCGTAGAAAAGCATTAGCCGACAAAATAATCGTGGCTGTCCAATGTATCGGCTCTTCACCTCGCTACAGAGGGAATTATCCTTTTACCAGTTTGGCTCACGCGCAGTACTGCGCGCATGGTTGAATCTATGATACTGATCAGGCGGTTTTTCTGCGGAGCATAACACTTCTAATTCCCATTTTTCGAATACGGCCCATTTCATCGTATTTTTCCCTTTCAATGAACATTTACCAATGACTGGCGCTTATCACATTTTTGACAACACTCGCCATTCGTTGGAAATAGGACAGCCTAGCGGTTGGAAGAGTCTCGAGGGTAATAACATCGATATCATGGTGAAATGCCTCACATCCTAGTACACCATTTGAGCAGCTTGCGAGGCTTTTACTTTTTGATGAAAACTCTACAGTTTAGCGGTCGAATCAAACCCGACTATATCGTCAAGGGATCAAGAGATAGAAACATGTTGGTTCGCTGAAATTTTGCCCACTGATTCATTGGCCACGGTGATTTGAGCATATATGACTCCTAAAAGCCCTTGTCAGACCCTATCAGAATTTATCGCCCACTACTAATGCTACCTAAGCACCTCTAAATTACTTGTAGGAAGCAGTAGTCCAGTAATGCCACAACTATGCTGTGAATTTCGGGGCTATCTTATCAGCCGTTATCTCGTCCTGCCACCCCCCCCCCTATAATGTTCCCATCTTGCCCACTATCTCGCTTCTTGGAACCAACGCCCTAGCGTCGCTGTGAAGCATGTTATGTTAGCATGTCAGAGTGGTGACCCCTCCTTTCTGGGGCCCATTATATTATCTTATCAGCTGTTATCACTTCCTGCCAGCCATGAATATTGTTCCCATCCTGCCCCCTATCTTACTTCTTGAAACCAACGTCCCGTCGTCGCCGTGGCCGGCGCTATGAACTTTGGCGAATGTCCCCTTGTAAGGCTCCTCATGGTATCTTATCAGCCGTTATCACTTCCTGCCACCCACCAATGATGTTCCCATCTTGCCCATAATCCTACTTCTTGGAACCAAAGTCCTAGCGTCGCTGTGACGCGCGTTATGGAGATGGTGATCCTTCCCTTCTAAGGCTCCTCATGTTATCTTATCAGCTGTTATCACGTCCTGCCACCTACTACAATAGTGTTCCTGCCGAACCTCCTATATCACTATCATTGAAGCGCTTCACTGCTGTGTTTTGAAGTAGTTATTGATTTTCGGTCAAAACAACCTAACAATACACACACACCAACAGACAAAACTTAGCGGATTATATATAGTAGGATTCTTTGGGATTGCTCAGTTCTGTTGCCTGCTACGGGAATAGAATGAGGCAAATAGTGCAGTGATTTGATCGCGATAAAACACAAAATACACGGCGCCTTTGCCGGCTGATCCGGCGCGCGTCCTTCCGAGATATAAGCGGCTTCGCCGGGCGGGGTCAGAACCGCCGCGCTTGCCTTTTTCCACATATTTCAATACCCAGCTAGTATCCGGCTTTTCTTTTATGTGAGCAGATGTTCAACTTCTCTGAACAATAGCATCATACCTGCATTTTCAACGCTAGTACGGTGTATGGAATGGTGGTGAGGTTATTTTGTGTTATCGCGATCAAATCACTGCCACTATTTGATACTGCAACATGTAATGGTTCGCCAGTTTTGCATACGGTCGCAAGCCCTTTCTGTTCGCCATTATCACACTCCTAGACGCTCCACAGTCGCTGCGTGCGCCTGCTCAAAGGGGAGCGGCGGTGATTCTGGTATACCATACGCTACCCTCCCACTGGTTCGCCCCGCCAGCCTCCATGGGCTTCGTCCAGTTGCCGCGCGAGAAGATTGTGAAGTGGCTTGCAGTGTACAAAAGGTTATATGTTGTATGAGTTGGGTGGACACAATCAAAACAACATTTTAGTTTGCTAATATGAATTAGCTTGCAGTTTCGCTAGCAGTTGCTTCCTACACTCCGGCTGCATGCTCCTGTTCAAGCGTGCGCTACGCGTCCGCTCACTCAAACTACATATTTCCAATCAGTAGCCAGTCCAGTGTAGGACTCAATGAGTGCCGTTCTCCTCCCCTCTCTTCCCACCCCCCCCCAAACCTATTCCCCGCACGACTTCACGTCAAGCCGTCACGCAAGCAGCTTGTGAGCTTGTGCTCTCGGGTGTACTAAATAGTTGTGTTGTATAGTTGAAAGTATTATCACAACTAAAAGAACATTTTCGCTTGTTACAGTTATTGTGATTTATGTCGCAGCTTAAGTCAGCGGTTCTTTCCTCCTCTTTGACTGCGCGCTGCTATTCAAGCGTGCGCTACGCACCTTCTCACCGTACCCGTTCACTCGCTTCCCTCAAGCGCCTTCACGTGCATGTTCCCAGGCCCGGCTGAGCACGTCTGGTGGAGGAAGCAGCAGGGGGGTATCCAGTCCCCGCTCCCATCCTGCCCTCGCACGGCCTACGTCCAGCTAGCACGCGAACAACTTGTGCAATGGCTCGAAGTGTACTAAATGGCTGTCTTATATGCCATGAGGGTATACGCAATCGAAACAACATCCTAGGGCGTTTCATGATCATGCATTAATCTGCTTTTTTTCTAGCGGTTGTTTTCTTATCTGTTGTTGTTGCTGCATGCTACCGCTCGAGCGTGCGCTACGCGCCCCTCACCGAACCCCTTCACCGTACACCCTCCCCTGCTTCCTTCCCTTGCACATGCTCAGGTCTGGCTGAGCACGTGCAGGGGAGGGAAGCAGATGGGAGGGGTCACTCGGTGCCCCCCGCACACCCCCCCCTGCCCCCGCACGAGCACGTCCAGCTGCCACGCCAGCAGCTCGTGCAATGGCTCGGAGTGTACCGAATGGTTGTCTTATATAGCGGAGGCCGATATCACGATCAAAACATTGGATTGATACTTCCGCACCAATCGATTTCCGGTTTGCCTAGCGGTCGTTTTCGCCTCCAGCGAACTCGAACCCGTGAAGCATTTTGCGGACGGACAGACATACATACATACATACATACATACCGACAAACCGACACACAGAGTTAGTGGTTTATAGAATAGAAGGATTATATAATCCGCTAATTTTGTGCTGTTGTCGGTTTGTATGTTTGTATGTATGTAGGTTTGTATGTATGTTTGTCTGTCCGTCCGCAAAATACTTCACGGGTTCGAGTTCGCTGGAGGCGAAAACGACCGCTAGGCAAACGGGCAAATCGGTGCGGAAGTATCAATCCAATGTTTTGATCGTGATATCGGCCTCCGCTATATAAGACAACCATTCGGTAAGCTCCGAGCCATTGCACGAGCTGCTGGCGTGGCAGCTGGACGTGTGCTCGTGCGGGGGCAGGGTGGGGTACAGGTCGCCCGGCCTCCCTCTTCGCATGCCACGTGCTCAGCGGAGCTGAGCACATGTATTGGAGGAGGCAGAGGGAAGGGGTCGCGGGGAGGGGGGTACAGTGAGGGGTGCGTAGCGCGCGTTTCAGTAGAAACGCGCACCAAGGGATGAGGAAACAACCGCTAACAAAACTGCAAGCCAATCTATGTTACCGTAACGAACTAAGAAGTTGTTTTGGTTGTGATAACACTCTCCACTATATAAGAAAACCACTACACTCCGAGCCATTGCACGGGTTGCTCGCGTGGCAGTTGGACGTAAGCGCGTGCAAGGGGCAAGGTGGGGGGGGGGGGGGTGGAGTGGCGAGTACGGAATGGGGTGAGGTGAGGAAGGTGGGAGTTAGTATCGAGTGACCCCCTTCTCCCATCCTCACTCCCTTGCGCGTACTCAGTCGGATCTGAGCCCATGCAGGGGAAGGAGGCATATGGATTGAATCGGGCAAACTGGGGCCAACCACTGTGATATACTCTGTGCTACTGCAGGAGCTGCTCGCTTGGGAGCTGGACGTGAGCACGAGCAAGGCGGTGGTAAGAACAGTGGCGGAGTAGTGTCCCTATGTTGCATGGCGGCTGCATACCACGTGCGGGGGTGGGTGCCGGTTAAATAGGGTCAGTGGGATATGATGTGGTGAGGGGATACCAGATGAGAACGGCGATTTCGCGATTAGGAGCACATAGCCCCTGCGGCGGTAAGGCGGCATCTACGGTTGCGACAAGATGGGGAGAAAATGGATCGACCGCAATCGGAACTGAACCGATTAATGTTGCATTATCAAATTGTGGTAGCGTTTTGATAGTCATAACACCCTCCACATAACACAACCATTTAGTGCACTCAGAACCATTGCACGGGCTATTCGCGTAGCAGCTGAGTGTGACCTGTAGGGTGGCTGAGCGGGGAATAGCTGAGGTTAGTTTGGGGATAGGTGAGGTGAAGGGGTACCATATTGGCGCGACCGACGCTCGCCTGAACAGGAGCACGCAGCGACTGCGGAGACCGAAGAATCCGTGGCTGTCATAAGATGGGGAGGACAGTAATCGATTATCCATGACCAGATTTCAAACCTTTCATTATAAAAGTGAAGTGCCCTGCGACGACTATATTGGCCGCGTTTCGTACATTTATTATTTATTTATTTATTTATATTATTATTTATTACATGCCCACTGGAAGCATGTGAACCAACCGCTGAAAACATGCAGAACCAAATCATTAAACAAATCAAACAATCAAATGAATGTTTAAAAAAATAGTAATAACAGCAATTAAAGATAGAGGCAGTGTATCGTGAGGTAGATAAAACTTCGAATAACAACACAAAAGTGAAGAGAAGAAAAGGAGAATGGAACCAGTGCGATGAGGAGTCAGTGAGCAAACTAGCTGAACTTCTTAAGGAAACGCGAGATTTCTTGTTTGAAACGGGAGCTTTGAAAAAACTTTGAAACGAATGCTCTTGCATAACTTAGAGTACTCAGAACCAGCACGCTGAGTGAAGAAGTGGCTACGAAGCGAAGACCTGGCGTTGTTGAGGCAGATTTTGCTAGGTTCACCTCTGGTAGATGAAACAGAAAAAGAAAATAACTTATTGGCTGCAAATGCCATTGACCCATGGACGATTTTGAAGACGGTGAGCAGGTCGTTCTTTAACCTCCGTTTAGAAAGAGAATCCAGATTAAGCATTTTATTTCGAATAATGGCCCGTGGGATACTGTTGTAAGTGTACCCTAACGCTCTTATAAAAACTTTCCTAGTGAAACTATTTTGCACACGTTCAATAGCCTGGATGATTTTTTTCTTGTATGGAAAGAAAATACTTGTCCCGTATTCGAGAATAGGTCTGACATACATCTTATAAGCCCTGATCAAAACGGAGGGATCTTTACTACTAAGCGCCTTCAGCAACAGAAATAGTCTTTGCTCCGCTTTAGCAGCAATTTTAAGGCAATGGAGTCGAAGCTGAGCTTGCGGTTAACAGTAAATCCTAAGTCCTTTATTTCAGAAACTTCATCGATAGGGGATCGTGAAATAAAATACTTATTCTTGGGATTGTTTCTACCGAGATACAATACTTTGGTTTTCTCACAACAGATAGGCAGATTCCATCTGACAGACCAAGCGTAAACAATATCAACGGCCTTTTGAATAGGAGAGCAGTCATGTGATTTATTTGATTAGAAGACACCGGTTAGGCACCATGAGAGCATCATAAATGCCTAAGACAGTAGTATCGCCCTGCTTATGCCTTACTTTGCTCCTTTCTTTCACGAGTTAAGAAGTGAGGCTCTAAAGCAGTTGCATGAGCCCGGCGAAGCCGGGCTTCCAAGAAGGAGGAGAGCTCGGCGTTAGCCGGGCGATCCGACTGGTAGGTAAATAAGGGAACAGCCTGCTATTGGGTGTCGACATGGCACGGCTGTAGGGAGGGTGGACGACTGTTATTTGGGGGTTGCATTGGAATGTGCGGCGTGAATTATGGGGTGAACTGGCGAAAAAGATGACGGAAGGCATATTAGGACTGAATATTATGTGCGAAGGAGTCGGAATGACTATAGCCTTTCGTGCAACAATAGATGGGAGTCAGAGTCAGGGGCTTACCATCGTTGTGGAGTCGACATCAGAGAATCCTGTTTGGCTAGCGGGCTTTTTGTGGTCTGCTCTCATCCTCACGCTGCACTGCGGGGTGTCTTTAGTGAGGGTCTTCCATGAAAAGGATCGTGTGGGATGTTAGAGGAGAATTTCGCATCCCTGCGATGTGCTTTGATTGGAAAAACAAGTGTTGTACGGTTGGCTAGCCTCAGCCTAAGATGAGAATCAGCGCGTGGTTGACTGAGAATTCAGAGTGCTGATTAGGTAGAGGTGAGTGGCCCAAGTAATAGTAAACGGATTATTCAGGTGTCACGTGTTACTTCAAATACTGATCGGATTATTTGAGTAGTGTTGATTACTGTGATGGAAAACACTGGTATGTTCGTGAAAAGACCATCTGCTGGTGAAACCGAAGACGACATTCTGGCTATGCAAGCTGAATGGGAGGCTAGCCGAACTCGATCTAACAAGGTTTGTTCAACCAAGTTTTTTAGCAATCCAAACTCTGTAGTAACGTGGTGGCTGGGAGATCCGCTTTGCGGCATCGGGGCTCTGCAACCGGCATTGCATGCGCGGCGTTCGCACATGACTTATAGATCCTACATGGCAGTGCTAAGTTGATCTGACATGGCAGGCTACGGTATGTCGAGTCAACTAGCTGCGATATACTAGCTATAAGCCTTCATTGTAACTTGAATCTTTCGATGTTTGGCCAATATCTGCCAGCTTTTGCTGTGATTTTTTTGTAAATGGAGGGAAATGAGATAGATTTAGCTCGAGTGTTCTTTTGAGAGAGGGCAAATATTCCTTTTCATCAGAAATCTTCCTTTGTGTGAATCTTCCTTTGTGAGAGATGTCCTTTTGCAGCTGTCCGCCGATACATCATTTTAAGGCATCTGTGCAGATTCACCGGGTCAAGAAGGGCCCACCAGCTCAAAAGCCTTCGCCAAAGAAATCGCCAGTAGCAAGTTCAACCTCTTCCAGAGCTTTTCGAGAAGGAGGTTTGTGGAGGGTAATTGCTCTCGAAGCATGTTAATATTCAGAAGCACTTCTTCAGGTCGCTTTGTAATTGATCTTGAAAAGATAACAGAAGAGTGGTCAAATCGCGTGTTATTCGATGTTGAGGTTGGATCGGGCACACATCCTCTGACGTTTTCGAGTTCTCCATGCGTATTTGAAACCAGACATGTTTTTTTCAGGAACGGAATTCTGATTGGCTGAAATCGGATCACCGCGATGAACTTGCGCGACAAAAACTCGAAAAGTTACAGTATTCTGCAGATGACGGCTTCCCGGAAGTACTTGACCTTGGCGCGTACTATAGGTGACCTATCTCAAAAAAATAAAACTTCGCTGGTTAAAGACGCGACAAAATTCTTATAATAGGAACGACGCTGTGGGAGAAATCGTTCTGCAGGAACCAAAACCGCTTTGATTTGCGCTGAATGCTCGATCGACTGTGCATGGGAAACATCCGTTTAGTTTCTCTCTCCTCTCTCTCTCTCTCTTCTCTCTCTCTCTCTCTTCTCTCTCTCTCTGCAATTCTCGCTTTTTTGAAGTCTTCAGTCTGATTGCACTACGACGAGAGGTACCCATACATCATAAGGCGAGTACTGTCCGCGACACAGCGAATATTCGAACCCTTCCGTATTGCTTCCCAACCAGGGCACGCCATCGCGCCAAATACGCGCTCGAAAAGCTTTAATCGGTTGCAGCGCAACATATCACGGATTGTCTCAGTGGGAAACTCTGGAGAGGCCTTTAAGAATGGAGGTGTATTGCTCGGGCTAGAGGGAATTTATCGTTCATGAAAGTATTGTGAAGTGGAGTCTTGCCGAACTATTTATCTTACCCCTCCGTATGACATGCCCTGGGATCCCTGAACCCTTTTCGATGGTCGAAAAGATTATCTTGTTATATATTCACAAGCTGTATTGTATTGCTTGTCGGTAGAACCTAATGCCGCCGTATTGTTGTATAGTTCTCTTGCGATTTATTTTGCATAGAATTCCGTTTAGGAAATCGATGAAAATAGTTTTCAGACGAACTTACTTCGATACCGGATGAACCAGTGCCTAGCGAAGACGATAATTTCGAGCTGGAAAATGACAAGTGAGAAAGCTCGCGTATAGTTCAAGAGATCCACTCTGCGGCGAGTTATCTTGCGAATTATGTCGCGCGCGCGGCATCCGCACCACTATCTGCTTTGCTTTAAGTGGAATTCACATTTTTCAGTACCAGTACCGGAATTGACTTTACTTGAAAGTGCATAGCATTCCTAATCAACTAGCTAAATTCTTCGCGTCGCTGCAGTGTGGATGTTATGGCCGGCATACTTCTGCTTTTTCATTTATCACTGGTTACTTTTGTGTGTAATCGAACTGGAGATAATCTGTCTATGATTAAGATATCTGGCTAGTCTTGATGAAGGGAAGATCAATGAACTCAAGATGGAAATCGCTGAGAAAATAGGTACGTTATAAAGGAGAGAGTCTTTGGAACCATTTACCCTAAATTGCCCCTCCTTTTGAAATCCAGGCTAAGTTTTCATTGAACTGCGTGCACAGAGGTGAATTTGTCTGGAAATCGACCGTGGAGTCAGTATTACCCTTTGAGCAAAAACACAATAGTAGTTCGAAAATGTCCATCACGCTACAGGAGCCGGCATCTCCAGCTAGGGTTCGATCTATGTTTACCCTGCCACCCCTCTGAACTCGTTTCCAGCGGAATTGATGATGAATTTTGGCTCCTCCAGGCGTTTTCGTTGCATGAGAATGTATTCGCGCGTGAGGGATCGAACTATCTCTAGAGATACATTGTAAGTCCAATTGATACTTTGGCCTGAACCTCGAAAGTAGAGCAGTGAAGGGTAGAAACCTAAGGAATTGGTGCAGTTGCTTGGTGAGCGCATCAGATGTTACTTGGCGAAGCCAATTCAGCCAGTGTTAAGACCTGCAAGTTCCAGTAGCTAAGTGGTTCACTTATACCTTTTCTGGTCTTCACAACAGTTTATGGGTCTCAGAACTAGGGAATTTTTAAAATGCCCCTCTCAAGCTGAACAGCGCCTGAGGATTCTAATGCATACTCATACTGAATGTTTCATTCTAGACAAAAATACCATCGCGTTCTTAAAAGATCGACACAAGAAGAAGTCGAAGGCAGCAGACTCGAAGCCAAGAGGTTGTTTTGAGGCAATCTTAACGATCACTACTTATTCTTTGTCTCGATAACGATTCTTGCAGTGTCCAAGTTCAAAGCATCTCGTGCAACTGCAGTTCCTTTGAAACCACCGTTTGCGGAGGAATTGAAGGAATCGCAACCAGAAGCCCCACCACCACCCCCTGTTGTGCAGGATATGCTTGACCAGCTTGAGGTTTTGGAAGAGTTTGCCGATCGAAGCGATCAAGAAAAATACAATAGGCTTGCGACTGTAAGTATTTTTCGATTATAGACACTGTTGTATTTTACATTCTGATGAACATCTATATTTCTTACAGGATGCCTTCCAACTAGACTTTACTACGAAATGCTTGCGTAGTGTTGCTCCTCGTCAACAAAAGAATGCCGTGAAATTATTTGACAGTTGCAAAATAGCTACAACAAGGTGATTTCTCCCTCCTTCAGTCGCTACCTCTTTGCTAACCAATTCCTTATTTCCTCGAAGCGTCAACAGATGAGACGAGAAAATGCCTTTTGATTCTAGCGGTGAGAGAGACTTTGAATGATGCTTTGTGGCCATTTCGCGAATTTTCCTATGCTGATGCTGCTCCCTACCAGGGTCTTTACTATGACAGCCGTCGTACGTTGGGATGCACAACGAGGGAGCTCGTGTCTGCCATTAGGAGAAAGTTTTTGTTTCGTTGACTTTCCTTGGTTTTTCCCGTTTGACTGGCGCTATATATCACCCGCTCAACATGCTCGACCATAATTTTTTCGAGGCAATTCGGAAAGGAAAAAACGGGAGAGTTATTCCCAAAAAGAGGAAAACGGGAGAGTTCTTCCCAAAAAGAGGTAGAAAATTAGGGAAATTTACGAAGATGGTTGGTAGGGTGGGGAAGGGGGTCGAACCGTCGAAAGGAGAGGGTTGTATTTTTTTGCAGGAAATTCTCCGAGCGTTAGGACGTGCCCTCATTACTATAGCTCCTTCACGTATGAAAGGGTCCTCAGTGAAAAAAAATTCACCAGATCTGTAAAAATGTTTCAGAGGCTTTGAATCTTAGAGCGGGCGAGGGGATGGGAATGCGCTACTCCCGAAAACAAATTACGCTTTGTAGAATTGTTCCGTGTGACCAGATTCCTTTGATCAATGGTACAGCATTGAAAAGGGGGGCGGTATCACATGACCCCCCTCCCGTCCCCCTTGGATTTCTTCTTATGATACGACTCCTTATCGCCATTCTACCTACCATTCTCTCAAATCCTCTTAAGTTTCTAGGGATTTCACCACCTTTTCCAAGATTTTTTCCACTCTTTCTCAAAAAGTTAGCGTCATGCAGGTGGAGGAAGGGAGTAGGGGGTGAGGGGGGAGGGGTGGGTCATCACCAATCACACTACCAGTCACAACATCTAGCACAAATAGTTAGTGGTGTAGGACTTTGACGGCACCGCCAATCAAAGAGGATGGAGAGGGAGGCGGGAAAACGGGGGGGGGGGGAGGCGGAGGAATATAACACAAAAAGCGAGGGAAACGCGCGAAAAGACCACATTCGAGAAAAGTTTTCTTCGCCTCTTCCTCTTGAAGACCAAATACGTTCCATCAGCTAGATATGACCCACTTATAGGATTCTCCCAGCGATGCTGTGCTCTGTTTTGAGCAAGTCAGCAAATCGTCGGAAGGCATTTAGATGGTGTGCAAAGGATTAAGCGTGGCGGCAAAGACCCTTTCTGGGCGATTACACGTGGTTCATCAGCCACTCATCCAGCGTGCGGTGCTTTCCCAGGATCTTCAGTACCCACAGAAAATATAGATCTAGGCGAACCGTCGCATAAGGAAGTTCCGAAGGCCCTAGAGATCCAGGAAACTCTATATCCGTGGTTGAACTCGGATCCAATGGCCCAGAATCGTCCCTGAAATGGACGCCCATTAGGGAGACTGCATTTGATATCCTCCTCCTCCTCGCATAATTCCCGGCTACTAGAGGTCCTTTTGGGTTCTACTGGACGTGTTTCGAGCAGATACAAGCGTTTCACCCTTCCATCCCTGTGTGTTGATAAAATTATTGATTTCAGCCGTGCAGACCCTCTCCTGGAACTTGCGCGATCACGAATCGACAACATCAAGGAGCTTTATCTCGAAGAAGTGTATGTTACCTTCACCTATGTTATCCACCACAGCCAAAAGAGTTTCCGTTTTTGAAGGAAGTCTGGTGAACAGACGTTTTTCCAATTCGCGAATGGAGTTAACCCCTTGGTCGACGGCTCGTGGACATTAGTTCCTGTACGTCGAGTTCTGGACGCTGTACATAAGCGAGAGGGGTAAGTGAAGCGCCTCTCTAGGCTACTAGAGAAACTCTTGGCCCAACATTTCCTCAAGTTCTGGACCTAAGTCAGGATCATTTCAGCGAAGTTTGTGCAGATGACACAGATATTGTTCGCCTTGCCCTTATTATGGACCCTTCTATTGCATGACGAAAGGCTAACAGCTTTTCTGGCGTTTGCAGAGCCTAATGACGTTTACGTTCGTTTAGCGGAAGTTTTATTGATCGGTGAGGAATATTTCTGTACTTCTATAGCTGAACTTGGCAGACGCTTAGTTATTCAGGTCCGGAAGTATTGGCCGATGATGTGATCGCGTCGTGCTATTCGCGTATTCTAAGTGGTTATGTTCAAAAGGTAAGACCATTAGATTTTTCTGTCGGCGATGGGTGGTGAAGTGCATTTCTTCAGGCGGCGATCGAAGGTCGTCTTTGCCTTCGGATGGATAGTCGTGTCGCTGGTCTGGATGCGTTCATGCCTTTGTGGGTTCATTCGCGTTTTAGTGTTCAATT